GGAAGTGCAACAGCAGCACGTGCAGCAGCAGCAGAAACAAAGCGAATAGTCAAGGTCTTAGGCTTCGTTTACCGCCATGTTTGTGGATGCACCAGTGCTTCTCTAATAAGGCGAGGGTTTGATGCTGCAAGACCACTGACAGCAGCTGCAAAGGCATGAGAGGGTAGAATTCCCTGAGCTACTGTTGATGCAATTCGGTTGCTGCTGAAGAGAATTGCTGTTTTCTCTGGCTGTTGTTGTTGCATCGGCTGCTCCTGTGACTGCTGCTGAGGCTGAGGGCGAGAGGCTCGCTGAGCTTTGGCTTGCTGCCGTTGAATACGTTGAACAATTTCGTCGGGCCGCACCCACAGCAGCCCTCTCAAAATATCTGCGGATTCCCCTCCATTCTCCTGGACACACCACAAGCGAACACGTAGTTGAACAAGTACGCATGGCTGTTCGCTGCATCCACGGTCAACTCATCTTTTACACCCTAGGCTCNACGTAGTTGAACAAGTACGCATGGCTGTTCGCTGCATCCACGGTCAACTCATCTTTTACACCCTAGGCTCCTGCCTGCTTAGGGTTTAGGGCTTAGGGTTTAGGGTTAAGGGTTTAGGGTACACTCTCTCTGCTGCTGAGATAGCAAATAATGAATTTTCCGACTCAGGCGCCCACGTGATGCTGTGACGAATCGTCGGAATGAAGAGGAGGGAACTGAGAATCCTCGAAAAGTCCATCCTCTCCCCAGGCATCATGGTTTTGCAGAAGTGCCTTGCAGGCACACGTCGACAGTGCATCATCGTTCTGTTGCGCTAGCTGGTGATGTTCCTGCTGCTGAGACTCCTGATTCAGCTGCGGAGTTTGAATAGTTGATGTGGCCCATGTTTGCCCGCTCTCTGGCAGCGCCTGGGAGTCGCCGGCAACGGCAGCTGGTGGCTCCATGGGGCTTCGCCTCGAGAGCTATGTGAGGGGCTGCACCCTGAGGCCTGAAACGTGTCTGGGTTTAGGTATTCCGCTGTTGCTGAACGATAGCTATTCGCAGGCGCATGTTTGTGTCCCTTTAAGATATTATCCTCAAACAAATGACGACATGGGCTTGAGGAGAGCACTT